ACAGAAGCTCCTGAACTGCTTAGCTGAGTTAGCTCCTCGTAATTTTCTCCCCATTCCTTCTTCCGCCAAAAAGCAGCCCGCTTAATTTTATGGCCTCTCCTTCGTCCGTCACGTGTCTTCATTGGCACTATAAAATTACCAGCCGCGCCCTTCAGCCAGTCAGCGCAGGTATTCGCAACGAGCCCCGATGCCGGCCACGGAATTGATCAATGTAACCGCCGGCATCCGCATCGATGAAAAAACCAAGAATTACCTCCCTCGTGGCGGCGCCTCCTTCGCCGCGCATTTGAAAACAGTTCTCGACAAACTCAGATCCTCCGGCGTTGTCATCGCAACAGGCCTCTCCGGCGACGAGCTCGCCGCCATCGAATCATCCCTCGCTTTCCACTTCCCGCCGGACCTCCGTTCTTTTCTCCACCTGGGCCTCCCCGTCGGCCCCGGATTTCCAAACTGGCGCTACGCCTCGCCGCAGCATCTCCAAATCCTCGCCTCCCTCCCTTCCTCCGACCTCCTCTACGAGATCTCTAATGCCCGATTCTGGCCGCTTGCGTGGGGCCTCCGTCCAGATTCCCATGCCGAGTCCATCGCCCGGGCTCGATCCCTCCTTGCCGGCGCGCCTAAGCTCGTACCCGTTTACCGCCACTTCTACATTCCCGCAACCCCCAATGAAGCCGGAAATCCCATTTTCTATGTTCGCGGGAAAGAAGTGCGTTGCTGCGGATTCCACCTATCCGATTTCTTCTGCATCAAGGAGCTGTTCTTCCAGCCGCCGCCGCCTCCGGCGCGGTCCGCAACCGAGGCGAGGAGGATTGAAGTCTGGACGGATTTGGCCTCTGGAGGTGTGATTACAGGCGAGATCTCCGGCGGCGGAGGTGATGGGATGGAGAAACTGATGAAAGGTTTGGGGTGGAGGCTGCGGGAGGGTGGTTGGGGGGAGAAGGAAGTGAGGGAGATGCTGATGATGGGTGAATCGGACGGTGCTGAGGAGGGGAAGAGGGGCAAACGGACGGTGGTGACGGATAGATTGGACTTGATGTGGCACGTGCGGCTTTTGGCACTCACGCTGCTACGGAGTGGTTGGAGCGCCGAGGACGTGGTCTACTCAATGGGTGGAAATAGGCCGGGGACGTGGCAAGTGGACCCCAGAGTCTACGAGAGCGAAATTATGTTTGATTTATAATTAAAGGTCTTATTAGCAACCACTAATCATTAATTAGTAAGCAACATCAATTATTTAATTAAAAATTAAAATACTGAGATGGGATTTGTTTATTAAGAAATAGAGAAAATCGGAAGTAATTTATCATGAAAGTTGAATAAGCCGCGGTTGTTTTACTTATTTTTGGTTGTTTGTTTGATCATTAGATGGAGTAAATGGTGAGAAATGATATTTCAATTAAGTCTGCTTGGTCAAAACTTTAATAAAAGTTTGTTAATATTTTT